CCAGCCGCTAGCTCCAGCCGCTTGCACCAGCCGCTAGATCCAGCCGCTTGCACCAACCGCTAGCTCTAGCAACTAGCACCAGCCGCTATCTCCAGCCGCTAGCTCCAGCCCCTTGTTCCAGCCGTTATTTCCAGCCGCTAGCTCCAGCATTTAGTACCAGCCGCTTGCACCAGCCTCTTGCACCAGCCGCTAGCTCCAGCCGCTAGCTCCAGCCGCTTGCACCAGCCGCTAGATCCAGCCGCTTGCACCAACCGCTAGCTCCAGCAACTAGCACCAGCCGCTAGCTCCGGCAACAAGCCCCAGCCGCTTGCTCCAGCCGCTAGCTCCAGCATTTAGTACCAGCCGCTTGCACCAGCGGGAACGCGAGGAGTGAAGTTGTTCAGACACAGTTTGCACACCACAAAGTCCAAAAAACAAAGCCAGAGTCGTCAAGTACGGATAGAGTATCAAGTCCAGGGTAACACAAGCCAAAGTCGATAGTTTTTTTTTTTTTTTTTATGATTGAAGGATTACTGGTGGCCCGGAGGCCTTTCCAGTTTCACCAGGACAGGTGGGCGAGCAAAGGCTCAGCCAGGAGTAAAGTCGATAGTACGAAAGTAACACGATTACGACAGATGCACAGTAAACGAAGAAACGATGCGTACTTTGCGTACTAAATGTTATTGTTTAAATTTTATTATGAACGACTGATGAGTCGTTGTGAGTGAGACGGATAGTGACGCCTCGTTTTGACAAATACCTTAACTACTATCCATTTCTTTTTATCACTTTTGTTCATTACAGACAATGGAGACTTCGAACTTTTCAAACAAAAGAATATCAGGTTTTTTTTTTTTTTTTTAAATGAGGTATCCCTACGCAAAGCATACGAAATAGCAGTTTTATTGGCAAGAAAAGTGGCAAGTGTTGTACTATTTTGAAATATAGACTAAATGAGTCGACTATTATCAAAGCCGGCAATGTGACTTTTGGATAATTATTGGTAAATCAGAAAAACGAATTATTGACTTTGTATTCCATTGGCAGTCACAAAACTCTTCTGAACGACATCTTAGATAAATAACAGGTTAAGTATTAACCTTTATTTAATGCAGGTTTTGAACCGTATTCTTTGAAAGAGACGATTATATTCAAAGCAATCTGTATTGAAATATCAATAATTTTTTTTTGTCCAAATGCACAGATTGCCACCTTTGATAATAGACGACTCAAATGGGCCATTTTTTTTAAAAACTTGCCATAGGTAGTGTAGTACATTTTTTTTCCAACGTAGAGTGTCAAAGTTGACTGACATAAATTTTATAAACCATAGCTCGTCAAAATTTAATTTATTTTACTTAGTTAACAATGACTTTCATTTGTGGTTACGATTAATAGCACTGTTATTTGAGATAACATTATTAAAAAAATCACTGCAAAATTGTGAAAATTGCGATCACAGTACCTAAAAATGCGACCAAAGGTGTCAAATTTTTAACTTTTTCGAAAAATGTCTATCATCGCTTATATCTGGTATACCTTGGCCTCTCGGCCGGTACCAGGTTATCGTTGAGTTTTGGGACACCCTGTATATTATTCAACAATCGTTTTGGTATAAGAACAAAAAATATCTTTATGTTGTCAAAGAATATTATTTGCCAGCACATTGAATTTAGAAAACGTTTTTCCCTATTCTTTTCGTTAGATATTGCCGCCGCCCGTGAAGGGTACAAACGGGTCGCTAGTCGTCCCTACAAACAGATTTAGATTACAGTTTTGCGGCAAAGATAAAAGACGGGTTAAGCATAAAAGAATTGTATACGCCACAACTGTAGTATTATGTTTTCTGAACATTTCTTAACAAATATTCAAAGCAGCTTTACGGGGATATTAAAACAATCTGATTTTAAGTTTTTTATTTATTTATTTAATTGTACAATGTTGTCTTATAACGTCTCATGATAAAAATAGCCCTATTAAGTCTAATCAGCTTACGTGGAAATTGCTTTGTATATTTATATGTATTAGATGATAACGGGGAGCTAGCTCACAGTTCGCCTGATGTTTTTTTATGATTGAGGGATTACTGGTGGCCCGGAGGCCTTTCCAGTTTCAACCGGACAGGCAAGGGCTCAGCCAGGAGGGGTGGGATTTGCTAACAGCTACCCGAGTGCCTCCAGAGGAGACCTAACAACTCAAAAGTAGCTGCTTCGCGAATGAATCTACTACCTCAGCGGCCTGATGTTTAGGTTAGGTTGCACGTAGAGCTCTTTACCGAGTTCGACTAGTACAGCTACCGGAGTCCCTGAGCCTGATCTTAATGTTAGAGTTTAAGGCGTCTAATGCAACCTGCACCTGGTATTAATTGTTTACCGGTACCATTAGAATATGAATGCGGCCTCACCCAACTTGCGACTTGAGATCCTTATTTTTACCGGTAGTAGGACCTCTTGTGAGTCCGCGTGGGTAGGTACCACCCTGCTTATTTCTGCCGTGAAGCAGTAATGCGTTTCGATTTGAAGGGTGGGGCAGCCGTTGTAACTATACTTGAGACCTTAGAACTTATATCTCAAGGTGGGTGGCGCATTTACTTTGTAGATATCTATGGGCTCCAGTAACCACTTAAAACCAGGTGGGCTGTGAGCTCGTCCACCAATATAAGCAATAAAAAAAAATGTTTCTGAATTAAGACTTCTTCATCGTAGACCTTTCATCGTAGACTTCAGTCATGAAAACCTATCAAGTACATGTTTCACTTTTTTTTTAAATAGTGCGTTTGCTACTTGGTGCATTTGAAAGAAGTGGAACTTCTTTTGCGGTGTGTATTATTGTGGTTTTCTTAATTTTTCATCCTTAAATCAAATTTCTCTTGTTATAATTCTTGAAATGCTGTTTATTAGAAAAACGACCCAGCTCACTTTGTCCTTTCCTCTTCCTCTCTCCACGGTCGAGTGGTTCGTGAGACGCTCTCTCTATTTTCTGACTCTCGCTCTTGTATCTTTGATCTTGTATCTTTTCTCTCTAGCCGTAACGAATCTGTCCCGAATTAAATTTTACTCTCAACGCGCCTCAAAAAGTTTCACTTCAAATGGGACACCAGGTAGGAACGAAGTTCCTTCGGCTAATGTAGAATCGACACAATTTGCAAAAAAAAAACGTGCTCACTTTTATGTAGGTTTTCTTGATTTTTCTCTTAAATTTTGCTGATTAGTTTTTATTTAAGTATAAGAAAGTATTTAGGAAATTCAGTATTTTAGGAAATAATAAATTACGTAAAATAGAAAGAGAATGGATGAGAGAACGAAAAGAAAGAGGGAGAAAGAGAAAGGTATTATACACTACTCGCTTGTGTATGCGACTCTCGCGCCTGCGCACGTCTCATTTAACGGTTTTATTCCACGCACTTTTTTCCACGGATTTTTTCTTACGGTTTTACTATCACATTTTTTTCAGTTCGGTCGCGCAGCAAAATCCCTATCCCCTCCAAGCCTGCCGTAAGGAACTTCGTTCCAAAAATGGTGCCATGGTGGCTGCGGGATTAAATATCGGCATAATAACATCGCTGGATATGAATACACCTGGCGTCTTAGCCTTTAGACTATAACGACGTATGTACATACACGCAATATGTTTCTAATAAGACTTATTTCATTTTCAGATTTTCACCCGGCTTATTGACGTTTGCAGCTATAGCGACTGGCATCATTATGCTTATCGGCTTATTTGGAAACCTGCTCACCGTGGTCGCGCTGCTCAAATGCCCTAAAGTAAGAAATGTGGCAGCAGCCTTTATTATAAGGTAAGACCTACATTTTTTTATGCGAAATTTATTTTTTTACCACCATCGATACCATTTTTTCATGTAAATGCGCCATCCACCTTGAGATATAAGTTCTAAAGTCTCAGTATAATTACAACGGTTGCCCCACCCTTCAAACCGAAACGCATTACTGCTTCACGAAAGAAATAGGCGGGGTGGTGGTACCAACCCGTGCGGACTCACAAGAGGTTATCCTCTATAGCCTTCTAATGCATATGTCAGTCCTTTTTCTATTGCTTAGACAGGTGGACGAGCTCACGGCCCTAATGCTATGTGAACACCGGAGCATTTAAAGATCATAGTGCTGCCAACTACCTTGAGACATGTATCTCAAGTTTCAACTTTTATAGTGCAACGGCTACCCCATCCCTCAAATCAATAAGCATTACTACTTCGCGGCAGAAATAGGCAAAGCGGTGATACAAAGTCCTGCCGGCTCACGACTATATTCTACAAAATAAAAAACTAATTTGGTAAACTGCAACTCAGACATACTTGACTGGTTGTTTTAAACTTTCGCGACGGTTGTCTACATTATACAGACAATTATTGAGTTCTAATCTCGATTATCAAAAATATTGAGACTCGAATTATCATGAACTCATGAAGTACGAAAATAATGAGAAACTCATTATATTATAGTGCTTATAATACTAGGTATTCTAATATAAATAGCTTGCGAAATATGAATCACGCTTATTTTAATTTCAGAATAAATATGTATATATTATTAATTTACATAAACACAAAGAAGCGACATGCCAACGCAGAGTTAGAGTAGGCAGCGGCTTGGCTCTGCCCCCGGCATTGCTGAAGTCCATGGACGACGGTAACCACTCACCATCAGGTGGGCCGTATGCTCGTCTGCCTACAAGGGCAATAAAAAAAAAGAGTCGCTCATGGACATATGCAATTCCCAATGGACATCCAATCACAAAAACGGCCGTCTAGTGTAGTGGTAAGTGACATGGTCACTACACAAGGGGGTTGCGGGTTCGAATCCCGCCAAGGAAAGATATTTGTATGATAAATATAAATGTCTTTTCCAGGGTTATGGATATATATTAAATATATGTATAAATAAATAAATAAATAAATAATAAAAATCTTACATTTATATCCGTTATCTGGTACCTGTAACACAAGTTCTTTACGAACTTATCACGGGACCAGTTAACGTGATTGTTAATAAATATTATTATTATATTATATTAAATCACTGCCTACAAATGCAGAACAATAATTATTCTTAAATAACACCTTCTTTAGCTAGCTATCAACAGGAATCTAAGTTCATTCATCAATAATACCCATGCTGTGATTCATTTAAACCATATCAGGAATGCCAACAGCGTCCGTTATTTGTAATATTACGTACATAATTGTGTTTCATTAATTTTATAATAACTCTAAAGGCTAAACAAGATTATAGTAATATGAAGTTGTATTTTTAGCTGGGACTTTTTTATTTAAAGTTATTGAATACCATATACTACTGAGAGTTACCTACATTATTCGTCCATGTCTGATTAAAAAAATATAACATGCAACTTTTTAGTGGTGGTAGAACCTCTTGTGAGTCCGCATGGGTAGGTACCGCCACCCTGCCTGTTTCTGCCGTGAAGCAGTAATGCGTTTCGGTTTGAAGGGTGGGCAGCCGTTGTAACTATACTAAGACCGTAGAACTCATATCTCAAGGTGGGTGACCGCATTTACGTTGTAGATGTCTATGGGCTCCGGTGACCACTTAAAACCAGGTGGGCTGCGAAGTCGTCCACACTAATAAAAAATAAAAAATCAGTGAAAGAACAATTGGAGATTATCATTCATATTTTTTTGTATACATAAATAATAAATAGCTAAGAACAAATCACGAACGGTAATTCGGTCCCAAATTAGGATTCCCTATGTCTATGTTTAAATATACATGTACAGATAAAGATAATAAACACTCAGACAAAGATCAAACAAATAATATTCTTCACACGAATGTTTGCCCGATGTGGGAATCGAACCCACGACCCCCGGCGCAACAGTCAGAAGCGCTAACTACCGCACCACCGAGTCACTCGATCATAATTATTCGATACATAATTAGGAAAATATAACGTATAAAATGAAGTTCAAGAGCCTGAGTTTGAGTGTGCCGAGAGCAGACAAGAATCAGCACGTCCTACAGTTTCAAAATACCAAATACCTTTCATAGAAAATAGGGACTCGAATCGGGATCAGCACTGACTACTTAGCTAAAGAGGCGATGAAATTAAAGGAAAAGCTCTTAACAATTATAATACAATAAAGAATAACAAGTACAACAACATTCAAAGTAATGCGGCTTTGATCCACTTTACCTTTATCACCGAAATCGGGGGCCGAAAACCAAAAAATAATTCTTTTGTCACAAAACAAAAGATCGCGCTGAATACATACATAAATATATTGACCTAAATTAAAATCCCTTGTATTGCGTATTATGGTCAAAATGCCATTAACCTGAATTCCTTGAGACCATCAACGCTTTTCTGGAAAACAATAATATGTTCTGGTTGTCGAGAAATAATAGACTTCCTGCAATTTCGACTCTACAATCCGGATGTAGAGTCATGTGTTTAAAAAAGCTGGTCAGTTTTATTATAAAAACAAAAGAGAACCACACGTAAATATTGAGTCGATTAAAGCAATGAAATTTCAAACTGATTTACAAAAAAAATATTTAATTAATACGATGAATTCATTTTGCGTTATATTTGCCGAATATTCATGAAGCCTTTAAAAAGCATTCACTGTAAAAAAATTACCCTCAATTTCACAATTAGCTAGCACTCAGTCTAGTGAGCAATTCTGAAGTTTAAACTAAGCTTAACAGGCTATTAAACTTTTGTTGAAGTCTTTTTATGAATAGGTAATTAGTAATTTATGGTATTCAACTAGAAATATAAGCTAGAATAAGCTAGAATAGAATTTACGTGGATCGCAAACCAAACTTGCTTTGAAAAGTAGCCAGCCTTGCATTGTATTAAGAAGATAGTCGCTTACATTTATTAAATTCATATTTAATATTTTTTTAGAATGTTAGTTGCATAAAAATATGCAACATAGGTAAAAATACATAAGCAGTTAAGTACCTATTTAACCTCTACTAACCAAGTTCCTATTTTACTAGTACTAAGTCACTATTATTGACAAAACGACGAGTTTTTTTAAAATATCAATTACAAAACAAAAGAGGAAATTTAATGAATTTATTCTAAATTTGTCAGTTATTATGGTCGTAATCGATATTATGGGAACAAAATGTGATTTTAAACGTTAGAACTTTTTGACGGGAAAGCGATGAGCGAATCTGTGTGAATTGTTTTATTTTGTTAATTTAGTGTTTCTTCAGGCTTAAATTTGTAATGACGTCGATTTATTAACGATTTAGCATATGTGAAAATGCACAAATGTGGTAAAACGAAACAGAGTCGCTGGACGTTGTTTCACGGGTTCTTCCAAAGAGTCCACAAAAAAAATCTCAGTAAATAACCACCATTTTAATACAAATATACTATATTATAATATAATAAATTTAATAAATACAAAATTTTATTGAGACTTTATCTCATCCCATGCCATCTCATTTCATTATTTTTTATCCCGTTTGGTTTAAATTTCAAATTAATCAACTTCACCTTATCTCATAAGAAGAAATAAGATTTTCCTTAAAGGCCTCATGACTAGGCCATTAAATAATAAAAAAAACAATAATAAAATAAGGGTCATATATTTTAAAACAATTATATCCTTACTACCTTGAATCACTGTGGTTCATTAAAATGCTTTTCTCATCAACGTATATTTTCTCATCATTAACCTAACTATACCATCGTGAATCCGCGGTAGGCAGAGTCTTAACTATGTCCCTGGCATTGTGATTAAGCCATTACATCTTTACTTTCTACGTAATATGATATTATACTAAATTTTTTCAACACAATCTAACACTTATTTGAAATGCAAAGAATTGGTTAATTCACTCTTATTCTTTTTTTATTTCCTAGCGCGAGCCGCGTTTGAATTTAACGAAGACTCTACATAAAATGATTTTCTTTTTCAGTTTATGCATAGCCGACTTCCTGTTTTGCGCCATGGTATTACCGTTCGCGATATCCGGGTTCTGGACTAGAACCTGGTCTCATGGGGTCGCCCTCTGCAAGCTAGTACCGTTTCTTCGATACGGAAACGTCGGCGTGTCCTTATTAAGCATAGCGCTTATAACTGTCAACAGGTAATTGTGACTCATGAGGATTTACATTGTGAATATAAAGAGTACATTAAGTTGAACGGCGACTGATGGTCTTTATCTAAATCTACAGTGGATTTTACGGATGTTACGTTATAACTACTAAACCGTACATCCGATTGACTTGAAACTTGGTATCCATGTAGAAAATACATATACTTAATGGATAGGCTAATATTTATATGAGTGTTGGACTCCCTCCGCCAGTTGCGGGGCGTTAATGATGAAAATCTTTGTAGGGTGAGAAATAATAATGTTAATTTTAAATGCCCAGCGAAGCGGACGGGTACAGCTAGTTGTTTTGTAAAACTTGAAAATACTGTGAATTGGCTTAGTTACTGATATCTATAGAAGTAACAACATTAATGACGCCACTCATCTTGAAATGTCAGAAGAAAGTCTTATTTGAACTATATGATGAATCCTTTAAACCTAAACTAAATAAGGACTAAATTAAAACGGACTCGATATTGTAGGTACTATATCCAATGTAAATATGCCTTAATTTGAATAGTTGTGTTATAATATACAGTATATAATATACTTTTGTAAATCGTATAGTGACAATGGATTGATAAATAAATAATAATTCTTAAATAACTTAGGTCGTTTTAGTTTGTTTACTATAAATAGTTACTTAGTAAGATAAAAAAATGAACTCTATGTACATTTATATAAAATCTTTATTCGCAGGTACATTATGATAGCTCACCACAGTTGGTACGGCCGCGTTTACAGAAAACACAACATAGCCTTGATGATCCTGTTCTCGTGGATGTTCTCGTATGGAATGCAAATACCTACTCTCATTGGAATTTGGGGTAAATTTGAGCTATTGCTGCAGTTAATATAAATGTATAGATTCAATGGAATTTGTTTTACTGGCCTTTCTTTTTATTGCTTAGATGGGTGGACGAGCTCACAGCCCACCTGATGTTAAGTGGTTACTGGAGCCCATAGACATCTACAACGTAGACGCGCCACCCACCTTGAGATACAAGTTCTAAAGTCTCAGTATAGTTACAGCGGCTGCCCCACCCTTCAAACCGAAACGCATTACTGCTTCACGGCAGAAATAAGCAGGGCGGTGGTACCTATCCGCGCGGACTCACAAGAGGTCCTACCACCAGTAATTACGCAAATTATAATTTTGCGGGTTTGATTTTTTTTACACGATGTTATTCCTTCACCGTGGAAGTGAATCGTGAACATTTGTTGAGTACATATTTCATTAGAAAAATTGGTACCCGCCTGCGGGATTCGAACACCGGTGCATCGCTTCAACAGGAATGCACCGGACGTCTTATTCTTTAGGCCACGACGACTTCTAAGTCTTCTGGCCTAAGTCAATTGTAAATTATTAAAAACTAGCCGGGATAGAGTTAAAAACACTAAATATCGTCAATAAAATAATTTGGGAGAAAAAGAAGGAAAACTTGTTCTACATTTGCGTAATTATACATAGACCTTGAAATCATATCATAATTATCCTGCCCTTCTGCCAGTCACCTGGGGTTGGCGCAACATGTTCTCTCCTTCCATACTCTTCTATCATATACCATTTCTTCGCTCACTCCCCTCTTACCCATATCGTCTTTCACGCAATCCATCAATTTCTTCTTAGGTCTACCTCTTCCTCTATATCCTTCCACATTCATAGATAACATTCTTTTACCAACCTCATTCTCATTTCGTCTCATCACATGTCCATACCATCCCAAGCGCACACTTCTCAGCTTCTCTGTCACAGGTGTCACTTTCAGACTTCCTCTAACATATTCATTCCGTATTCTATCCATCTTCGTTACTCCGCACATCCATCGCAACATTCACATCACTGCTGCATGCAATCGCCTATACATACACCTTGAAATATCGACCTAAAAAGCCTTTCATTCCATTATTTTCTCCTTCAGGGCAATTCGACTACGACCCCGAGTTGGGAACTTGCTCAATAGTTCCAGACGAATTTGGACGTTCTTCAAAGACAGCACTCTTCGTGATCGCGTTCATAGTTCCCGCTTTGCTAATCTTGATATGCTACGCTAGAATATTCTGGGTCGTACACAGGTTTGTTAAGTGATATATTCAACGAATTATGTCTACCTTATCAGATTTTCCTTTCCCTTGATCATAACGCAAGGGCCGGTGATGCTCGGTATCTTTAGCAGTCTTATTTTTTGAATCTCATTGGATGATATTACACCTACAAACGCTGATATACGATATACCACCATCACCAACTTACTTTTTTTTTATTGCCCTTGTAGACGAGCATACGGCCCACCTGATGGTGAGTGGTTACTGTCGCCCATGGACTTCAGCAATGCCAGGGGCAGAGCCAAGCCGCTGCCTACCGTTAAGTACTCTCCACAAGCATCGTTTGAAAAAGGATATGTCATAGCCACATATTGGGGGCTATCTGTGGTCATAGCGCTCGGGAAAGACCGTGGAGGGGAGCTCATTCCAAAGCCGGACTCATCTCTTACCGTGGATTTCGCAAATAAAAATATTCTTTGAGTGTTGTGTCAGCATTATTCGACCGCATGAACTGCAGGAGGGCGTATGCTATGCTCGTATGGAGGGGCGCCCCTATGCAATGCGCGCTATGCAATTAAGAATCCTACCTCAATGTCTCAAGGTATTTATTACCAGACGAACCCGATAATCCCTTTGGAGATTATAGAGTATATACAAGATTCAACTCAATCTTTTTAATGCAATCTCTGTAACCTAAACTTTTTTTAAATAGATTTCGCAAAATTTCAGCTCAGAGCAAAGAATGCGTGAACATCAAAGATCCCAACACAGCAATCCGGGAACATTAAACAACAGTACCGTAGACAAAAGATCGACGATCAAAGACAACAGAGAGTCTAAGGCGAGACGAAATGAATGGAGGATCACAAAGATGGTCTTAGCTATATTCCTGTCTTTTATTGTTTGCTATTTGCCTATTACAATTGCAAAGGTCGCTGATGCTCACGTACATTATCCAGGTAAGGTTTAAAAAAAACTAAAGAAAACCATAAAATTTTGAATAGTAATTCATTTCAGTAGGTACTTTAACTTTAGATATGTTGAATTGTGATGTAGATACGTATGAATAGTCGAGCTAAGATTTTCGCGGACAACTATCCAAATAAATTAGAATAAAACGCCATCTGATTATTATTCAACTCTGCAACTTGTTATTAATATCAATAGAATCTTAATTTTCTGCTTTACTTAACACATTCACTACAGTATGAAGTCGTATTGACCCGTGTAAAATTTCAGTTCTAAGGTAAATGGTAGTACTTTATTGTCAAGGTTGTGCTCTCTGATTTCTGCAATGTTTTTTGCATCTATTGACGCTAGTTATCCTGAGCGTTGTACTAGTATTACATAAGTAGTATTACATGATTTACAAGTATTACATAATTTTTTGTAGCACTAAAAAATCTCCGGCGCTGCGGCGTGTTGATAATAAACCATCAAAAACAATCCTCATTAAATTATAATAAAAGCACTCTTTTAAGAGTGTAGGACTATAGAGAGATAGTGCTTGACCTCAAAGACATGTAATAATTAAACTTAATTTTCGAACGCAATGAAATAAGGATCGTTTTTTGTGTTCATATAACCGCATAGTAGTAGATACTATGATGTAGAATTGTCAATGTTCTGGTGAACTTCTAAAATAAATAACGTAACGGTAGAATTCGCAATGTTCCGGTGAACTATTAAAATAATCTTTTAACGTAACATCCGACAGTATTCCACGTAGCGGGCTACTTGCTACTGTACGCAAGCGCATGCGTGAACCCGATCATCTACGTGATAATGAACGCGCAGTACCGCGCGGCGTACGCGGCCGCCCTGTGCTGCCCTCTGTCCCGGCTCTCGGGCCTCACCAGCGGTGCGTATCCTTCCTCGCCCGCATGCCAACACGTCATCAGGAAGACGGACCGTACGTCAGCACTCGCCTCGTATATCAGAACTTGAAGGTATCATTGACGGTGGGGGATAGGTTTGGTGGTTGTAGATTAGTTCTCAGAATTGATCGCTTTAAGAGAAATATACCTTCACCTTATTTCACCTTCGCCGATGACCAAGCTATAATGCACGTGATGGTTATTGCATGGAATAATGAAAATGATGATAAAAAATAATGAATATTCACCAAATTTGATATAATATTTTCATAGTAGATTGACAAGTAAAGTAATACCCAAATTAGTTTTCAAATAAAAAGCTACTAATATGATAGTTTTCCCACTAACAGGCAACTTCATTGAAATTGGCATTGTAGTCTTATAGTGATTTAAAAACTTGCTGCATGGATTGTTGGAAATTATTTTTGGTAATGAGGGTTTCGATGTTATTGCGTACTAATAGGCATAATTTATTCAACAAGTCGTGTCGTGACCTTTCCAAAATAAATAAATAATTCCTAGGTGATTTTTTAAAACTATAAAAACCTAATTTTGAATACCGCTGTTCATCTTGCGACACAAGGCTCAAAGTTTCAGATACACCGGCAAATGTAACTTTAAACCAAAACTCATGATTGCTTCCAATTGGTACCCGGTTCACATTTATCATATTTTGACAATTTTAATTATAACTATAGGTATCTAGCGATATTCAGCGTCACCAACAAATAGCGTAATCTAGTCAGAATGACGTCATTTAATTAGGGAACTGTCTGCACTTGGAAAATGCCGTACCTATTAATCAAGACTTTATTACGTGAAGATACTGCTAATAGCTGGTGATTAGGAAGTATCAGTAGCTTGTCCAGATTTTTTTAAACGGATAATAGTTTGCTTCGTTCTGAAAATCTCGATATTGTTAACCGACATCCAATAACACTGTTTGCTTTTGTTTGAACTAAGAAGAGGCGCTTTTGAACTAATTAAGGAATGCATGGTTTACCATTAACTATTAAGATTTAAAGACTTTATAAGTTACTTCAACACCTCAGATATTTACATTTCATTCTGTTAAAAATGTCTTCCCTCCAATATGATGTTAAGAAATTAAAATAAAAAGAAAAAATTTAATTCCCAGACGTACCGTGTGAAAAACAGCACTGTAAACATCCATTAATAACAAAATAGTCAAAGATATAAAAAAAATCCTCTCACTAATTAAAATTGAAGTTAGAAGTAATGAAGAAGTCGTCGTGGCCTAAAGGATAAGGCGTCCGGTGCATTCGAATGTGGCGATGCAACGTTGTTCGAATCACGCAGGCGGCGATCATTTTTTTTAATGAAATACGTACTTAACAAATAAATGTTCTCGTTTGACTCCCACAGTGAACGAATAACCAAACCAAACCCGCAAAATTATAATTTGCGTAATTACTGGTGGTAGGACGTCTTGTGACGTAATGTTTTGATGAGGTAGGTGGCGCGGCATTTACGTTGTAGATATCTATGGACTCCGGTAACCACTGTCCCACCACATGTCCGTGTCTAACCACATCAGGTGGACCGTGATCTCGTCCACCCACCTAAGCAATAAAAAAATGCCTATAAATATCAATGCCTCCAACAATTAACTAGTCCCTAATTCGTTTAGAGAAATGGAACGAGCGTCACGGGTACAGCTTCAGCAACACACGAACGGCGCTCAGCCAAGTGTCACTGGGCGAGTCGAGAGCAGACCCTCGACCGGCCCCGGACACGTCCGTCCGTGGCTCAAGGTAGACGACTCACCCACCGGGACCAGGCCGCACGGCTCGCCGCTGAACAAAAAAAGAGACGTCGGACCCAAGGTCACCAGATTCCAGATCGTGAACCACGGCCCAAGGAAGGAGCAGACGAAAGTTTAGCAGCCTGTCGTTCGTTGTAGAACGTGCCAAAGATTTTACAACATTGACTTGTTCTGACCAAATACTCATTTAATATTTAATTTGTAATATGAAATCCAAGTACGATTTTTTTTAAAATTCTAGACTATATAAATGTTCCGTCCTATAACGAACGACAAGGTATCTAAGATATTATGCAAGTTAAATTAATTAAACGATAAGTGGAAAGTAATTTATAATAATAATATAGTTAAACAGGTGCCCATCTTAATAATTTATAACATTTTCTTTTTAGTTTTAGTTGTGCGTAACTGTCTTCCGATAGTGTTTTAATTTTACTTTGAATAAGACAAAATGGTTGTACTCGCATCAGTTTTAAGTTTATTTTTATTTACAACATTCCATTCACAATTCACTCATAAATAATGTGAATTATCTATGCAATTCACGTATTAGTGAACCTGTCAAAAAAGTTGACGAATGATATTTTAATTATCTTTAAATGTACGGTAGGTAGGTATATGTTGGCTAAAAAACATTTATGTATGTTATAACCATGTTATAACTTGCTGGCAATTCTAATTTCTTTAATTCTGCCAGTGTCAAATCAGAATTACTTTTTTTAAGATTTTTTGGACTGGTAACGAGATCTTTAAGTCAAGTTATCTTTTTTTCTCAATTGCTGTTATAATATAAAAATAAAGTGAAATGAAATCAAAATAAATTGATTATTTTGAGGCGTTAATAAATTCGGATGAAATTAAATGAAACGAGATGAGGTGGGATGAAATATAGTCTCAGTAAAATGATGATTTTTTACTGATACTTTTTCAGTGATCTTTTTGGTAGAACCCGAGAAGCTTCGTACAGCGGCTTTACACAGTTAAACTTGAAAAAACAATAAATGACCAAAATAAAAAAAACAACTTCGTTCCTCGCGTTGCCGCCAAAAAGTTCTCATAGAAAGATCAAAGTAAAACTTAGTAAAACTTAGTAAAACAACCTCATTGAGGTTGTTTTTAATTATTCCATTTTTGAAAATTCATGGATTCAAATTTTAAATCATCAACGTCTGAACAGCTAAATAAAATAACAGGATTACTTTTATTACATTCCATTTTATTATAAGTAAATAAGTAGGTACATTTTAAAAATAGTGTAATGAAATACATATTATTATAATTATTGTTTTTACCAAAGAAAATGTAGATAGTTGAGAAGTAAGATAAAATATGTATGATGTACGTGTTATTTAATATAAATTTATGTCCACCAGTATTTTTTTGTAACATAATTTGATAGAGGTATAAATTAGTTCTGCGATAATAATTAAAACTTCAAATTCCAATACGTTTACGTGCTAACACAATTAATGATGCATTAGAAAAAGATGTAATGAACATTTTGCCTAGGTATTATATTGTATGAGAATTAAATTATTGCACACTGCTATTTTGTTTATATTTCCTAGCATAAGGTACGGAGCCATGGAGTGCAAATCTTGACACTCATACGGTTAAAACAATCGTTTTATTCGAAAAATCGTATTTCGTACGTAAAAAATCGTATTTCCTATCAGGACCATTGTGAACGTTTTGAATCTATTTTTTAGTAGTCGCGTTCATTAGTTAATATACATTTTTTTTAGATTAAATCATACGCCGTAGGCATAGATTACATTAGTGAAAACGGTATTTAAGTTTAAGGACGAGACAACTAAGATTATACCCCAATTACTCTCTTCAGCCAATTTATACCCTAGACGAAGAAGGTCCAATATGTCGGAGTCATTTTGAGTAGCTCCGTGACCTTCTGTCCTCGCAATAGGATTCATAATCGCGCCGCGTTCATTTTAGGCAGACTACCCGACAAATCGCAAGCAGCTACGTCCTCTCCCAAGTAAAGACGAGACTATTACTTGCCTAGGTAGACACGGACTGAATTTTTTCAGAGGTTGCAATCCTAGCTGCTATTGTGAAAAAGTTTAAAAAAGGGCCAACTGCAAAATACTGAATATCAATAGAATTTATTAATTAGTTTATAAAACAATTTTTTTTTTTAATTAGTCATGTCTATAAAAAATTATCTTTAATTTGAAAAAATGGCTTAATGAGTTTTTATTTTATTTTATGTTCTGTATTCAATTTAAATTATAGCGAAAATTTGATACAAATATAGTTCCGAATAATGTGAATTTCATGGATTTTCTTCAGTCATCCTATGTCAAGTTGGAACTTAATAAATTGAAGCTGAATCTTATGAACGCTTCTTGCTCACTTCATTATTCATTTATTATGAAAAACACATGAACAATAGCAATTTATTACATTTTCATTAATTAAATTACATACATTATTGCCAGCTTATCCTCTTTACGTCATAAGTATGGCTGACTTTTAACCTGCGGTTCGAGTTGTGACCTAGTGCCTGCAGCAGTCCTATTTGCTAGGCTAACTTTGGTGTGTAGCCCAACAAAGCTTTGTTCAGTTTTTATGTTTTAAAATATTTTAATTATTTTTTTGTACTAGGTAATAAAAAATAAGGAGTCGTCCGCAACATAGTTCTTCTTTTTGATTTTAACACTTTTTTTTTTATTTCCATTGGTAGTAGTAATCTGGTAAACTGAACATATAAATGTGGCATAATAATATCATAAGACTTGACGGCAACTTTTGCCGATTTTACGTTTAGAATGCAAAGGAAATATATATTGGCATTTGGAATGGCACTGCGTTTCATCGCCTGCACACGAGTTGCATTGCATTTACTTCTTGTGAAAATAATTAAATAATGTTACTAAAGTTACGACATAAACTGTCCATTGTCAAGTTTCAGGATTATTTGGTAGAAATGACAGTAGATTTTTTGTTTGTTTTGATTGTTGTTTTAAATTCTTCTGGCCTAAACTTGTAAAACTGTAGGCTAATTTGCCAGAGTAGCTCTTGGAAGTACATGTGGAAAAATGAAGCAATAGAAACAGCTTGACGAGGCTTTTTGCGTTCTTCTAAAAATTCATTTAAATGGCAATAAATTGCAATTGTTTGCTAATAAAAGATTTCGACTCATCTCTTCTCGAATCACCTCATTAAATTTAATTCCATAATCTATGATATTTCAGATAAATAAATTTCATTTAATTGATCCCTGTTTCACTTTTCATGGTCTTTATCTTACAAAAAATCTGCCGTTTAAGCCTCCGGCTAGGCGGCGCGGCTGCCCCTCCCTACAAAAAAGGATCGTGCTTTATGAGATGATTCTTTCGTTTTTTATCTGTCACCTTTGTCAGATTTCATATGTCAATGTCAAACCGAGACGAATGAAATGCAATGAAAAATCAATCAGATTTCGTAAAATGGGAAGAGTGTATTGAACGTATTAATTTGTGATTTCTGCTAGATAAAAGTAATATTATACATATTATAGATTTTAAGAACATTTGTGTGTGTTTAAAAAAATATTTGCTAATTTTTGTGTACTGTATTAAAACAATGGATGTCGTAGGAAGTGAAATAGGCCAGAAAATGCGGGTAAATAAAGCCAATTTCAACATACTGTTACTGTTCTTATGATAAAATTTCCAGATAATAATAAACTATTACTTTAACACATTGTAATTATGCTCCAACAAATCAATTTTCCCATGAAAATCCCTTGCTATCTCTATTGTTTGTGTTATTTTCGCCCTACATGCCGGCGTATATCCTAGTCATATAGTGCTGCAAATTTATTGATTAGATTCTATTCTGGTTTTCAGTCTGCTATCAAGGCTAAGCTGACCGAACTGGGCTGTTATGTAGGTAAGTGCCTATTCAATTATAATTTTAATAGAAATTTGTATTTTTTCACACACTCTCCACACAAAATTCTCCACATGAACTTTAAAATTCCTAATTTTCAGAGCAATAGTTGTTGATATTGTCTAATGTATCTGCATGTGTTAATTTAGAAATATCACTAAAAACCGAAACCCTCATATTTTAAGCCTTGCCCAAATGAGAGTTTTGATAGCCTTGCCTTGCTCAATTGAGGTTGTTTTGAGATTTTCTCAATTATATTAAATTTTGTATCCTAAAGTACGAAAAAAAATATTGCTGAATGTAAATTAGAATTAGTGTTTTAGAAACAAAGATCACATCCTTCAGAAATACTTGAGTAAACTCAATATACTTCAAGAGACTTGAAATTTGTTTTGTTGGTTAAAGAACCTACAGATCCTTCATGTGTGCTTAATGCTTCTGCTTTATCATTAAATTATGATTTGTAACTTTTATATGAATAAAATATCTTAATCCTTTTCATAACATTCTGTAACAGATGTTGCAACTATTAGTTCCATCCTTACTCAATATATTTTAGAAGGTTTTAATTTTACATAGACAGCATTCTCTGCAAGTTAATCTCAAATGACTCATATTGCTTCTTATTGTATTTTATTCTAGATGACGAGCTACCTGACTATGTCATGGTGATGGTAGCAAACAAGCGCACTCGTGGGCAGATGGAAGAAGATCTTCAATTATTCCTTGGAGACAATACTGAACTCTTTGTGAATTGGCTTCACCAAGTTCTCAAAAAACTACAACAAGTTTCAGTCACTGCCCCAATAAGTGTGTATTATGTTATAAAGTTAATATTATATTGCTTTAATACACTACTATCCAAAAGTTTTGTAGCAGCCAGGTAAAATATTATAAAAGACAAAAATGTGGTAAATTTTTGTTTAATTTGATCTTAAATAAAAACACATAAACAAAATAAGAATTTCACACGCAAAATAAACATTCACTTATCATTAATTTATACTCATCCAAGTGCCCACTTTGTTTCTTTTGGTATCATCTAACATATTCTGGGCATTCTATTAATGTTGTAATTTTCTTCTTCCAACTTTTTCCACTCACTCACCATTAATTGCCAGAAATGCTCTGATTTCATGGTAGTCGATTTTTTAGTCTTTTGTCAAGCTTATCCCAAATAAGTTAAATGGGAGAAAGGTTAGGTAATTGAGATGGCCATTGGATGAATGCTTAGGATCATTATCTTGTTGAATTCAGAACCAATGTGATTCATTCCACTAGGCTTCTTTTTTTAGGTTTCTGGTTATCCTCAAAAGACATCCAGACTCATTGTTGCCAAACCAACCCCAAATAATAACATTTCCACCACTGTGATTGATAATAGGCACTGTACATACTTCTAAAGCCCTCTTTTCTGTTCATCAGCATTTCCCAATTGGAATAGATCAATACCTATTGATCATTTTTTATCTAGTATATTTTTCTTATATTGATTTGTTAGTTAACTGCAACATATCCTCTTAGTCCTGCAGAAGGTAGACGTCTTTTAACTGTTGTTATTAAAATGGTTGTTGCTCGCATTTCATACACAGCTCTGGTTATTAGTGGTGTAGTTAAGCATTAAATTGTTGTGGATTTGGGCCTTTTCCCAGTCTATTGTTTTCTAGCAAATGTGTAGTGGACACATTTACAAGAAAATCAATAAACTGCATAAAAGAAAGCAGTCAACAAATTAAGTCATAAAAGCGTTATTGAGATTTTCAACAAATTTCTTAAATTTGTATTATTCATCCTTAAATTAAATATTTTTCATACAATTGGACTATATGGTGGCGATGTTTTTATTGCAAAAAAAGGTGTGCTTCCAAACTTTTAGACGGTAGTGTATATAATTTGTTATACTGCTAAATACAAAGTAAAGTAATGATAAGTATTAATTATATGGTTTTTACTTTAAAGCAGTTGAAAGAGAGAAGAGCAAAGAAAGATCCGTGTCCAAAGACCGCAAGCCGAAAGAAAAGAAAGCAAAAGAAAAATCGAAAAAGAGTGACTCAAAAAAATCCAAAAAGAAAGTTAAAGAAAAAGAAATTCATAAGAAAGAAATCAAGAAAGCTCACAAGAAAAAGAAAAGCAAACATCACGATATAATAAGACCAAATATACCTCCATTGCTGATGAACATGGAAAAGAATTCAGAGCCATCAATAACTGATGTCTTTGCTGGCCAGATACTAAAAAACCACGGTGTATTAATAGAACCACAAAGCCAGGATGAAAAAAATGAAACTAAGTCTACAGTTAAAGAAAGCAAAAAGCCAGTCGTACCTGTAATTGATTTAGCAACAATTTCATCTGAACAGAATCTTTCCTCTACATCTGAATCTACTAAGATTGTGGAAGAAGTGGTTGAAAAATCAACAGAATCATCTGCGAATAGAGATGAACAAATTAAAGAAATCAATGAGATTGAAGTCAAAATACAGGGACTAAAGCAAAAATTAGTGGAACAGTTGGATTCTATGTCAGATGATGATGAAGACTTTTTAAATATAAGGACGGAAGCTGATGAGCTAATGAATGATTTTGCCGATGAAGTCTTTCAGGTAAATTTCGGTATTTTAAGAGATTTTAGCCTAATCTGACTTACCTTATATTAGAGGGTATCAACCTAGGTCTTGATCAGTCCAGGGCAGTGGTCGGCAATCTTGTCACCGAACAGAGCCAAACATAGATTTTTGACTTTTTTTATTGCATAGATGGATGGACGCGCTCACGGCCCACCTTGCGTTAAGTAGTTACTGGAGCCCATAGACATCTACAACATAAATGCTGCTATCCACCTTGAAACATTCTCATAAGTTCTAAGGTCTCATTATAATTACAATGGCTGCCCCATCCTTCAAACCGAAAGGCATTTAGCTTCACAGCAGAAATAGACAGATTGGTGATACCTACCCGTGCGGACTCGCAAGAGGTCCTACCACCAGTAATAATACTCAATTGAAATTTATTCAAAGCCTTTTTGTATAACAAATATATTTATAGCACTACATTTAAAAACCATACCGCAGAATAAATGAAAATACTTTAATTATTATATATTATTAACCTTCTAAATGGAGTATTGGTCAAATGTTTGAGTAAAATTCGTTGTTTTAGTTCAGTTAAAATTATAATCGCAATTTCACGACTTTAAGTCTCACCAATTGAGATCTGTGAGAATATAAGTTTTCAATAAAAATATCAACTTGATATTGTTAATATATTTCAGGAAGTCTCACAGTCCATCCCAAAGACTCCACCACTGCAAAAGAAACCTACATCACCACGGAAAATTATTGAACCCGTTCCCCCTACTCCAAATCGCAGTGCAGAAACTGTTGAATTGTTACCCCAATTTGAACTAAAGCTACCCAAGAGGCCTGCAAGAGATCGAATTAGTAGAGATATAACCAGAAAGGTCGAATCTAAAGAGACAGAGAAAAAACAGAAGAGTCCAGAGAGGTAAACATTTTTTTTAATTCAAAGCGATCTTACATGAATGAGATTTCAAATCTGTTATTTAATAATAGTATGTTAGGAAGTGCATAATTAGAAACAATTTAGTAGTTCAATTGGTATTTTATAATTTTCAAATTAACATTACATATATTTTGACATACATCAGTTTGCACATACAATCATAGATAAGTTTGCTCATCGAACTTTACCTTATTGACATAGTAAAATGCAACTAGTATTTTCGTTACTGAAATTAATATAAAAGATAAATAAAGTAAACCTAACATATCATAATGTTAATGTGAGTATTCGAAAAATATAGTCAAAAAATTGAAAAAGGGAAAACAAAAACTCGGTAACGATACAAACTAATTTGCATAGAAATTAAAATGCTGGTGTAGTTTGCACATTGTGAAAGAAAAAACAATGTATTTACAAACAAAAATTTACACTTGATTTTATCCAGAGTGAAAATTAATCTCTCAATCCATAAATGCACACTTGTATTGTTTGTTTACTTGATCGTTTTAAAAACAAGCGTTGTTTAACCGATTAATTTAAATTTTTCTCAATTGTTTTTGTTATTTCATGGAAATTTGATAGTGCCATGATAGGATTACTAGCAGTTTTAACAAATAGGTCTAAATTTTATAACACTCTCATCACAGCTTAGCTATGTTAACATTCATCATCGTACTAATATTCATTCTTAGGTTCACACCAGAACCGGAACCACCTCAAAAACCAACAAAGATTACATACAACGATCAGCCTGCATCCCAGAAAAGGAAGTCAGACTCTGATGAAGCAGGTCAACGTAGTGCTGAAAATAGTTCTAAAAAGATCACTTCCAGGTATGTACCTAAAAGTTTCTATACATTGTGCTCTCACATACACTTAGTTGCATGTAGACCAAAAATGTAAACTTATTATTTTAATACTATTATCATTAATTTAGGATAATTCTTATTTTTTTTATACATATAATATGTATTGCGGTACGGGAGCGAAACTTGGTTTGTTCGCAAGGACTTGATAAAAAAACTTCAAGTGTTTGTGAATAGGTGCCTGCGTCAGATTTTCAAAATCTGTTGGCCTGAGAGGATCACTAAGCAGACACCAATGGAAATGAAGATCCTTACGCGGAAGTGGCATTGGATTGATCACATTTTGAGAAAGACCGATACCCACCTATCAAATAGAGCACTGACCTAGAAAGTGTCTGGCAAAAGGAAGAGAGGCCGCCCCAGAACAACTTGGCGTCGCTCGGTGGAGCAAGAGCTAGGTGTCGTGGGAGGAGCAAAAACAGACTGCCCAAGACCGATGTAAATGGAAAAAATTTGATTCGAGCCCTACACCCCAGCAGAGGGTAATAGGAAAGAATGATGACGATGATGATATAATATGTAGAAATTATTGTAAAATTTGAATACAACTAATTAATTTTTGAAACATGTTTTTCCATGTTGAGGTTTTGAAATATCATTAATAAATAATGTACAAAACCGCTTAAATAATTATTATTCTAAGGGACAAGTCAGTTGTGCTTATGTCATTTCCAAATTGAAATACAATCACACTGTTGGAAATCGCTGTCCAAAAGTGATGATTTGATACAAATGTCACACATAAATTGTGATCGGTTGCTTTGTTTACGAATCGCTACTGAAATATTAACGCTGTAACTCTAGATACAGTAGATTGGGAGGAATAGGGACTAGAGATGGAATAGGGACAAATCTGGGATGTCACAATACTTTTGTTGAGTTATTAGATTTAACTTTGTTGAACTGAAAATTACTTTTATTTAGTGTTTAAGAATATTAAATAGTTTAATTTAGTCATCAAAGTTTTGTAACTTTAGTCAAAAAAGTTAATTACCTAAAGTTAGGTACCTACCTAACAACTAAATAGTGCCAGCCCTATCGAAAAACTATTGTACCCTTAAGCGACCCGATTCACCCAAGCCTGGGTGAATAGGCACAAGGGAGTTTTTGTAAGTTTTTATGATTATTCTTTAATAAACGATATCTTAATGCATTATAAATGAAAATTTAAACTATCGGAATCATTATGATATCCGTTTTATTACTATAACTACAAAAAAAGAACGATAAAATCAATGTCGAACTTAAAAAGTGTCCGGTCATCGACGAAGGACTCGACGAGTGAATTAACCTACAGACATAGCCCGCTGAGTTTCTCGCCGGATCTTCTCAGTGGGTCGCGTTTCCGATCCGGTGGTAGATTGTGCGAAGCACGGCTCTTGCTAGGGTTCGTGTTAGCAACGTCGTCAGGTTTGAGCCCCGTGAGCTCACCTACTAGTTAAGGTTACGCTAAATAGCCTCTCGAGACTATCTATCATCAGCTTAGGTAGGAAAAAAAAAGTGTCCCGATTTTACGGTACTGATTCTTGAGTTTTTAATGTGTGTATAATTTTAAACAGAATATCAGTGTTGGAGAATCGTCCTGTCCGTTCGTCGTGCACGAGCGTAGTGCGGGTGCGCCCGCGGCCGCGTGTCGCCGCCACTGCCTCCAGCCTGCTCATGAAGGCAGTAGCTGATGCTCATAAGAGCTTATTAAATGTGAGTATCGACGTCAACATAAATCAATGATCACTAGTTATCCTGAACATGATTATAGGGTATTTTTTCATTTATTATAGTAGTATTCGGGTAGTTACAAAAAATGTGTTTCATACGTTTAACGATGGTCAGACAGAGCAGATCTGTCTCAAATCGTTATGGATATATTCGAGGCCTCCAGCATCGTATCTCAAGGCATGATTGCCTCTATGCGGTCTCCGGCATTCACATGCGGTTTGAGCTCGGAAGTAATTACGTACTTAACATCGTATGCTTACATACATAAATCAGGATCAACATATAAATTAATTTACGCATTAAACGTGTAAACGTTTATTTTTATTTTTATTGCCCTTGTAAGCAGACCAGCATACAGCCCACCTGATGGTGAGTGGTTATGGTCAACAATGCCAAGCCGCTGCCTACCGCTTAATACTCTTCACAAGCCTCGTTTGAAGAAGGACATGTCATAGCGCTCGGAAAACACCGTGGAGGGGAGCTTATTCAATAGCCGGATATAATCCTGCGTAATATTAATGTTAGATTACCTAGTGAACGCGCAGTTGTAAGTAATATCGTACAACAAACTTCTGCCTCGTCGCTACCGTTAATGTGATCGTGTTTATTTCAGATTCCCCCTAAAATAGAAGCGGATTCACAGAAAGTCAAACGGGCCCTAGTACTGCCCATGCGTCGGATGGACGCGCAGAACATCGTCATCCAAGTGCCGGCGGGCGGTCCCGCTGCTGACGCTGACGATGCTGACAGGAACGCTGACGTCATAAGCCTCGAAATGGACAGCAATGATGACGAGAGCTCCAGGTGACACGAACACGTTTAAAAATAACCTTTATAGACTACATAATAATACGATGAGGCCGTCAGTAAAAAAGTGGCTTAACCCACAATTTTTAATTTTTCTTTATTGCTTGGATGGGTGGACGAGCTCACGGCCCACCTGGTGTTGAGTGGTTACCGGAACCCATAGACGTCTACAACGTAAATGCCGCCACCCACCTTAAGACATGAGTTCTAAGGTGTCACTTGTAACAGTACAACGGCTGCCCCGCCCTTCAAACCGAAACGCATTACTGCTTCACGACAGAAATAGGCAAGGTGGCTATACCCGCCCGCACGGACTCACAAGTCGTCCTACCACCAGTAAATTCGTGCTCATGTATTACATTATTTAAAACGTAATAAATTTTGATGTAAAACTGGCCTATACCTAGTTTCAATCGTAGATAACAGATGTCTTTGTAAACATTATTTTTGCCCGTATTGTTTTTGTCTGCGAAGCAGTGTAAAAGTAAATTCAAGCCTCGTTATCTCCATACTAACTATGAGTGGCTTAAGCTTTAAGCCACTTTTGGGCTGACGCTTGCATATATCGAGGTGTGAAAGGAGGTTTGGTTTACGCGACTTTTTTTTAAATTTTACAGAAGAAATATTTAAAGTTTAAAATCTTATCTTATACCTTTAAACGAGCAATTCTTGGCTCCAACGATTTTCATAAAATTTAGTATACAGGGGATTTCGGGGGCGATAAATCGATATAGCTACGATTTATTTTCAGAAAATGTTGTTTTATTCGTGTTTTCAATAATCAACTCTTCCCGGCATCTATTGGCGAATAATAATACTATTTTTCAACTAACCGCTTTACGGCCTGGCCACGGGGATCGGCGGCGCGAACAGCGAAGCGGTGGGCGAGGCGACCATTCGCGCAGCACCGTTTGCAGGCCACGGGTACTCACGTTCGCCGCCGCGACTAGTAAGGAAGTCCGACAGCGAAATGTCTATATCGAAATTATCTCGATATTGCTTACAAATTAATAGTTTTTTGGTTCAGGACCTATTATTTGGAAAAGATTGTGAAGTACATGATTTGAATAAGAATCGGAGTATACCTATAGATGGAGAATTCCACAAGAAGTACGAGAAATACTTTGGGTGGCTAGACTTCCAAATAGCTGGTCTAGCTAGTATTTCAGCTATTTTATTTTTTTATTGCTTAGATGGGTGGACGAGCTCACAGCCCACCTTGTGTTAAGTGGTTACTGGAGCCCATAGACATCCACAACGTAAATGCGCCACCCACCTTGAGATATAAGTTCTAAGGTCTCAAGTATAGTTATAATGGCTGCCTCACCCTTCAAACCGAAACGCATTACTACTTCACGGCAGAAATAGGCAGGGTGGTAGTACCCACCCGTGTAGACTCACAAGAGGTCCTACCACCAGTAATTACGCAAATTATTATTTTGAAGATTTCATTTTTATCACACGATGTTATTCCTTCACCGTGGAAATCAATCGTGAACGTTGAGTGTTGTTGAGTACGTATTTCATTACAAAAATTGGTACCCGCCTGATATTCGAACACCGGTGCATCGCTCAACACGATTGCACCGGACGTCCGTTAGGCCACGACGACTTTAAAAATATAAAATAAAAAATAAATAAAAAATATAAAAATTTCGGCGTTAATTTTTCGCGGCGAAAACAACTAAACTCATTTAATCACTGCACTATTCGCCGCGACTACCGCTCGACTCCGTGGCTCGCGCCGTCCGTATTCATGCATTTGTTTTGCTCGCCCGCCGCATCGCGCGATTCGCTCGGTACATTTCGCCGGTCGCTTCGCCGGTCGCCGGTGCGCGTGGCTTGTTAGGTACATTTCTATGCGCTTGTTTTAGTCGCTAGACGCTTCGCCGTTCGCACCGCGCGAATATTCGCATCGGCGAATGTCCCGTGGCCAGGCTGTTAAAGACACAACAAGATGGCGTTATCAAAAAAAAATCGTCGTCTAGTTTAGATGAAATATCACAACAAAAAAACTAGGTCAACTATTTGAATGCATTGAACTTAATTGAAGTTCGATTAAAAACGCCACGTACCATCTGGCTATGGAATGAGCTCCCCGGTGTTTCCCGGGCGCAATGACATGTCCTTCTTTAAAAGAAGCTTGTGGAGAGAATTATGCGGTAGGCGGCGGCTTGGCTCTGCTCCTGGCATTGCTGAAGTCCATGGGCGACGGTAACCACTCACCATCAGGTGGGCCGTATGCTCGTCTGCCTACAAGGGCATTAAAAAAAAACATCGAACTGTCGTTGGTAATACTAAATAAAAGAGACATTTTATTACAAAGATAAATGTCGCTCAAACCAAATATCTTTTCACTCCCCCGATATTTACGCTCACAAGCGCGTTCATTGACTCTCGAATAATAGTTTGATATAGGTTGCGGGTCCGTAATGTCAATCTATCAAAACGTAAATTAGATCCGAAATTCGCTGGCAATATATACCTAAAGCTGTGTATTTCATTCTGGTGGTAAGACCTCTTATGAGTCCGCAGGGGTAGGTACCACCACCCTGCCTGTTTCTGCCGTAAAGCAGTAATGCGTTTCGGTTTGAAGGGTGGGGCAGTGGTTGTAACTATACTTGAGACCTTAGAACTTATATCTCAAGGTGGGTGACGGCATTTACGTTGTAGATGTCTATAGGCTCCAGTAACCACTTAACACCAGGTGGGTCGTGAGCTCGTCCACCCATATATGCAATAAAAAAAACACGTGTGGCACTGCCGCGGTAAAGTCATTGCATAGCATTTTTTATCAACTTATGCAATTATAATTAGACAAAAATAATTTAATATTAAAACAATAATAAAATAGGACAACGCTAATTTATAAACATTAACAAAAGCAAAACATTAACTGTCCCCTTCACACTCAAAAGCTAGACCGCGCGAGAGAGGGATGGGCAGACTTTTCATGATTCGCATGCAGTGCGTTGTCGCGCCGCGCGCTTATTCACAAGCGCAACGTGTGAATGTGTTGAACGCGAACTACATGGTAGGCTGAGTGGGAGGTGTTAGGTTTTATTTTCGTTACGGAATTTCTTGATTCGGTCGCCGCGCTCAAAGCCCGCAATAAAAGCTATCCAATAGCTTAAAAAACAACGAAAACGTTTTGTTTAACAGAGCGCCTAGTGACGTTGACAAAGAAGAGTATGTACCGGCTTCGATAACGAAGAAAATAAAAAACACTGAATACGTACCTTCGAGGCGATTCGAAGGAAGGATCTCCACGAAAAAAAACGACACACTTATCATTGAAACAATGTAAGTTGCATAATAATTCATCACTACATAGTATAAAACAAAGTCGCTTTCTCTGTCCCTATATCCCTATGTATGCTAAAATCTTTAAAACTACGCAACGGATTTTGATGCGGTTTTTCTATAGATAGAGTGATTGAAGAGGAAGGTTTATATGTATAATAACATCCATTAAATAGTGGAGAAATCAATAATAAATTACAGTTTCCGAAGCGAAGCGAGGGCGGGTCGCTGGTTTTCAATAAACTATTATATATTTGCCGAGTTTACATCTATGATCAACCTAGAAGCACAGTTGATAAGACTAGAAGTATCATAACGGAATCATTTTCAAAGCCACACTTTTCTCAATGCAATTTTTTTTTTTTTGGTTACAGAAATATTCACAATCCAACCGTAGACAAAGACAAAAGTACGCAGTTCATAGTCACTATGGACGGTTACCATCCGAACTCGTTTTTGAAAAAGAAACTTCTCGACGAGGGCATCTTGAACGATGAAGAAGCCAATAAAACGAAAGAATCCAAAGAACCCCCAGTGGAAGCTAACGTCACTAAAGAAGAAAAATCAGACGAAATTGAACTTGAACCCGCTGAAAATACAGACGAAGATACGCCAGTAAAACGTCTCAGTGCTACAAAAGATGACGCGACAGAAGCCAAGATAAAAACGGAAGAAGTACCCGCTAAAAGGAAAACCACGGAAATGCTAAAAGATCTGTCGCCTCCTGTTAGGAAAAGAAAGGCCTCTCCTATTGTATTCGACGTGTCGAAAAAAGAGAAAGTCGTCGAAAAAGAAGAGAGACAGAGAACGGAAAGCGCCAGTAGCGACAGTCATATCGTGGTCACCACTAATAACACACATAAATACGACGCAGTTCCACCACGTAAGTAGATATCGAAGACTGAAAGGCTATTTGGTTTAAGCGACGTTTCGGTTAATACGCAACAATTATCTTTATAATTTAAACTAACTGTACCCGACCGCTTCGCTGGGCATTTAAAATTAACATTATTATTTCTCACCCCCACAAAGATTCTCATCATTAACGCTCCCGCATCTGGTGTAGGGAGTCCAACACTCATATAAATATTAGCCTAGCCATTAAGCACATGTATTTTCTACATGGATACCAAGTTTCAAATCAATCGGATGCATGGTTCAGTAGTTATAACGGAACATCCGTAAAAACCACTGTAGATTTATATATTAGTATAAATATATATCAGAGGAAGTGTGAAAGTAACCCTGGTAATTAACAAATTAAAGACAGGACGGTTAGCGTGGTATGGACATGTGATGGGTAGAGAGAAGATGCATGTGACTAGGAGATGTATAGAAATGGTAGTGCAAGGTAAAGGGAAAGAGGTCGACCGAAGAAGACATGGATGGAATGTGTGAATGACGATATGAGAGCGAGAGGAGTGAGTGTTGAGCTGACGGCTGATAGAAGACAATGGAATTTAAAGCCGTTTTTTTTAATTGCTTATGCGGGTGAAAGGCTCACGGCCTACCCGGTGTTTAGTGGTTACCGAAACCCAGACATCTACAACGTAAATGCCGCCACAGGCATCGATTTCCGGGCATAGCTGGAATACTGGCAAATAGGTAGGGAAAAAATCGGACCGGGGTATATTGGCCTTCAATCAGTTCTTCGTGGTTTACTAGTGAGGATAATTAATCGATCGACCGACGACTAAATCGCAAAAAAATAGTTTCTCAATTCGGAACGTACGTAGGTACAGTACCCGGCAATAAATATTGCACATCGATATTTAGAAAGAGACAGTCGTCTCATTTTGTTTTTGTTGTAGGGCGTTACCTGTATGCGACGAAACTCTAACGATCCGGTATCTTGTCAATTAGGTAACGTGCGACAGGTATAACGCTCTACAAAGCAAAAATTAACCGTCTCTTTCCCACGGTCGATGTGCAATATTTATCGCCGGGTACTGTATTTATTTGTCTTTCTACAGTGTCCCAAGCGGAACGCAAGCCGATATGGTGCAAGGCGTTCCCGATGTGTAGATACGGCTCGACGTGCGCCTTCATACACCCGCGCTGCAAGTTCGCCGCGAGCTGCACGCGACGGAACTGCGTGTACTCGCACCTGCCGGGCGCGCCCTTGCCACTCGCAACGCCATCTGTCGGTGAGTGCCTCCATATTATCACTAATCATACCAACACTTACGGATATATATGTCTACCATAGCGAGTATACGACATGTATTACTCAAAATAAACAAAACAAAACAACAACAAAAGTATAATAACCATACCTAAATTAATTGATAAAAAAAAGTCTTGAAGTCAAATGTGCAAAAGCAATAAGATGATACGTGCATTTTCAATGCAAAAGTTCAGAATTGGTCATTTGACCCGTTATGGTATGTTTAGTGTTATATCAGAACAAGCGGCCCGCTCCGGCTTCGCTCGGATCGTTAACAAAAATTTCAACGATATTTGACGTTGTTTTATTTTTTTAAATAAAATAACACCTACTGCGGCATAACTATAATAGGTAGACATATGCTGTCGCAACACTTTTTGTAAATAATAATGTGCTCTACAAAGTCGTAGTACATTATTTTATTCTATCATCAATAGTTTTCGCAGGGCACGCGATGTAAAGAATATTTTAGGTATACCTTGTGTTACATTATTGGAGTTTTAGTAAGGATCCTTAATTTTTTAAAAAAAGGTTATAGCTTATGTTACTCGGGAATAGTGTAGCTTCTAAACGGTGAAAGAATTTTTCAAATTGGTTCAGTAGTTTCGGGGTCTATTCAATACAAACAAACAAACAAATATTTTCTCTTTATAATATTAGTATAGATGTTAGTTACGTATTGACGTTTTAACTAATGTGCGCGCGTAACTAGTTGGCCGCGCCTTAGGTATGTGAGTGGTGGGACAGAGAGTCGGGGGCGCTTGCTGTCATGAGATTGCCATAGCGATATGAGTCCGCCTATAAAAAGACAATCGACGGAAATAATATAATATATGATGAACGAAATCAATACTTACTTACAAAAGGAGTCTGAATCAAGTTCAGAGAGTTCAGAATCAAGTGATTCAGAGGATATGTCAGAGTAATTTCATATAAGTATAATATATTAATTAAATAATTTCATATATCATTGTAATCATTACAGTTGAATTGTTTTTTATTAATTCTTTTCAGTAATTGAACAATTATTGTTGACGATATCTTGAGATTGGTCATCACTGTCTAATGTCATGTGCGTTACGAGCAGTAGGCAACCCGCCCCCTCACCCCTGTCGCCACCTAAGGCGCGGCCAACTAGTTCCGCGCGCACTATAATCTAGCGATCATTATGTTTTTGAGAATATCACGTCGTTAGAGATACACAATTAAATAGACAAGGGTACTTTATACCCATTATTCCTGAAGGATTTATATATTTTGTGCATTAATTCCAAACAAAACGCGTCTAAATGTTTTTAATATTTATATGTTGCAATTTATTGGTGGGGGGGGGGGGGGGGGGTTATGAACATTCACGGCTCGTGTGCTTTCGTTTGACGAAGCGAAGTTTATCGGAAGACGCTTTTCATTTAATCTTTAAATGTGTGTGCCTAAGAGTTTTGTTTTAAAAATAAATAATAACAATTCAATTACAGTTTTTGCTATTATTAAATTTATCTCAAATAGTCCCTAAAAAGGTGAATTTTCTTTTAAAGCTTGCTACGTATACCATTAAGGTTTTATTGACACTTATACTTCATCCCTTATTTTTGTTTCAATAGGCTCCAGTAGCCGCCCTACACCGCAATAAAAAATGTAAATATATATACCTAACTATTTTACCGAAATTCAAACCAAGATATACTTTGTGATTATATTTCGATATTATGATTACAATATTATGATTTCATAAAAAAAAATCGAACTATATTTTATCACCCTGTATAAGGTTCGATCGTTTTAATAACCTTTATATTGTTCCAACAGCGTCCCACGTGATCCCGGTCGCGAACTACAAGTCGATATCGTCTGTGGCCGTCCCGGGCATGTGCAAGTTCTACCCGGGCTGCGTGAATCCAATGTGCCACTTCTACCACCCAAAGCCCTGCCGCTTCGGGAAAAACTGCACAAACAAACTTGAATGTAATTTTTATCATAGCGATGTACCTAAATGGAAGTATTGTGTATAAATAAAAATGTGTTAAGATATGTTGGTGTTTTTATTTTTAGATATATTTTTTTCTTGATTTGATGTGTGGACGAGCTCACAGCCCACTTGGTGTTAGGTTACTGGACCCCATAGACATCTACATCGTAAATGCCGCCACCTACCTTGAGATAGAAGTTCTAAGGTCTCAGTATAATTACAACGGCTGCCCCGCCCTTCAAGCTGAACTGCTTCAGGGCTGAAATAGGCAGGGTGGTGGTACCTACCCGTGCGGACTTACAAGAGGTCCTACCACCAGTATAATTACGCAAATTATAATATAATTTTACGGATTTAATTTTTATTACACGATGTTTTTACGGTACAACGGCTGCCCCACCCTTCAAACCAGAACACATGACAGCTTCACGGCAAAAATAGATACGACGAATATAATAATATCTCCCCATGTCAGTTCTACGATTCATTCTATCGCCAGTAAAACAATTTACAATTTTGTCACAAATAAAAAATACACGAAGCTATCCCACTATCGATGACATCTTTTGTGAGCGCCAGGATTCAGATAGGTACGTATTTACTTAGAAATAGAATTTACTTAGAAAAAGTAGTGATTTGAAGACTGGCATTATTATCACATCCCTCGATATTAAATCACAAGCCGTCTGTATACCACGTATGCTTCAATTGCTATTAATGCTAACCTTATATTAGAATTAAAAGTAATCATGCACCAAACATAGTTACACGTAGAATTTCAATGATGATCGAAAATTATCACAATTGACTTATTCAAATGACCCGAATCGAATATCCATAAACTACAAATTACAACATTTTTAATATCTAAACTTTCGTTATATCATGCAATTGCTCTTAAGACGCCTTACACTTCGATAAAGTGGCACGACACGAGAACCCTCTCATTGTCGCCGCCGATAACTACATTCCCGATCCTGCGGACAAAATGGAAAGCAGTCGACGCCGCCCAAAACATGTCATTTCGGATCCTCCCGATCCACTAACGGTGCTTTTAGGTACCTCAAGCACGTTCTCGTCGAACCCGTCGCTTGCGACGAAGGGCTCGACGAGTAAACTAACCCACAGACACAGCTCACTGAGTTTCTCGCCGGATCTTCTCAGTGGGTCGCGTTTCCGATCCGGTAGTAGATTCTGCGAAGCACGGCTCTTGCTAGGGTTCGTATTAGCAACGTCGTCAGGTTTGAGCCCCGTGAGCTCACCTACTAGTTAAGGTTACGCTGAAATAGCCTCAAGGCTATCAGCTTAGGTAGAAAGAAAAAAAAGACGTCTTACTTATCTAGATTGAATTGGATATTGCCTAACCGAAAGAATCTCACTTATGATTCAAATAAGGAACGAGGTCGGAGTCCATTTGAGTCAATTGACGCTGATTACGTTTTGGGAGTCGATTTTTTTAGGCGTCACACTCCTACGTAATTTGTTCAATGACAGGAACTAACTACTTCGGTATGGGACTATAAGAATTGCGTTAAAAAAAGATATTGTATGATGCGAAATGTCCGTAGTCTAACTGATAAACTAATGAAAAACAGTCTCTGTTATTATAGTAATGTTCCAATCTCTAGTGTTTTCTTCAGTTTTTGCGAGTGCATATCCAAAATAAGACAAATTGCACGGTTTTATTTCACTTTTATTATTACTAAAGTTTCTAAAAATTCTCGTGGTCACACATGACTAAAGTGTTATTCGTTGACATTTGAATCTCATGCTACGGCTTAATTATATGCTAACATATGTTACCGAATTTTTACCATGAAAAATGAATATTGTGTATAGAAAATTTTGCGCAGAAGTTAGTAGCAGAGCGTGATGTGTGGTGAGCCCTTGAAGATCAGCACATCTTCGTGTGTAATGGAATCGGACCTTTCGATCTGAATAATGGGATAATCCTTATTCTAATATAACTGAAACTTGTCTCACATGTCTCAAGTAACTGGCGGTTTTCAGATTTTGGTGCCCGGTTAGCGATTGTCGATTTACAGCCAACTTGGTCTCCGCCAATAAAATCGACAACTACTGTTTCTAGTTTTATATCGCAAGACAATTAAATTCAACAAGCTGGGATTTTTGAAGGATCATTGCTTTCTACTAAAATTCAACACATCGCTTTTCTTAACCACGTACTAAAATAATATAGATCTGTATGCTTAGTTCGAGTTTTTTAATGTTTTCGATAGCGTAAAAGTTGCCCAATTTTGTATGCAGTTGGAACAGCGCCCCTAGGGGCAAACGTAGGCAAACGATCCAATTCCATACAAATATGAGCTAACTTTTACGCTATCCAGAACGTTAAAAAACTCGCACTAAGCACATTGAAAGTTTCTCAATCACGCAAATTTCGTAACGGTTTAGATTTCGCACAAACATAGGCTAAAATCTTTATAGTGACATGACCCGGGCAACGCCAGGTATAATAACAATACTAATAATATATATAATGTATATGTAATCTCAGAAAAAAGCAACGTGCTTCATTTTTTCTTAATTACAGTTATTGCCGATTACGTCTAGTTTTCTATAAACCGTAATTGCAAACCGAAAATTAAGATGTTTTATTTCTGTGCGATTCGAGACTACTCGTGGTAGAACCTCTTGTGAGTCCGCACGGGTAGGTACCACCACCCTGCCTATTTCTGCCGTGAGGCAGTAATGCGTTTCGGTTTGAAGGGTGGGGCAGCCGTTGTACTATACTGAGGCCATAGAACTCATAACTCAAGGTGGGTGGCGCCATTTACGTTGTAGATGTCTATGGGCTCCGCTAACCACTTAACACCAGGTGGGCTGTGAGCTCGTCCACTTATCGGCTTATATCCCATACNTAGGTACCACCACCCTGCCTATTTCTGCCGTGAGGCAGTAATGCGTTTCGGTTTGAAGGGTGGGGCAGCCGTTGTACTATACTGAGGCCATAGAACTCATAACTCAAGGTGGGTGGCGCCATTTACGTTGTAGATGTCTATGGGCTCCGCTAACCACTTAACACCAGGTGGGCTGTGAGCTCGTCCACTTATCGGCTTATATCCCATACAACTGCAATTTTTTTAACCTCTCGTTAGATTTCCTTTACAAATGAAACTCTGAAGTGAAGCATACGTTAAGCTTTGTGCCTTTTCGTATTTTCTACCCGAGAGCAATTATTATTTTTCTGAATCTGTATAGATATATGGCTTCTATAAAGCGTATTTATAGCCAAGACGGTAAGTACATGATTATCTTTGTAAGCAACCACAAGTTTCGACTTCGGAGGGCTACTGTCCTGACGCCCCAAGATTGGTGCCATCATTCTTGATGCGCTGACTAGGGGCTCGGGTCTACAAACTACGTCAAAAAAACAAATCATTGATATCTGCCGGAGAGGCAATGATATTATTTCAATACGTAAAACGATCTGTTCTGTTCTGAAACGATCTTCTGACGATTTCTAACTAGATACCTACCTACCATACTAGATACTGGATTATTCTTATTCGCATCTATTACGTTCTGCATTTTCTGGAATATTCGATCTCTTTTAAATTTTCGATCGATTGTCTGCTGTCTGTTTGAGTAACTTATCAAAGTCATTTATAAATATAGTCAGATATGTACATAATACAGTTCATTGGGTGTAGTGTAATTTTGTAATGGGACGCATTAAACGGGACAGGTTGTGAATATCCGTCAGACACCCTCTCGTCCTGTTATCATTCGCGCGTCTCCCGTGGGATAAACAGACAGGCAGGCTCCTTCGTTTCTACAAGCAACTACTCTGTACTAATAGGTAAGTTCTTTTTTTAATTTTAATATAATGTGGTCGACTTTAAAATATGACAAACTAGCTGACCCGCAGACTTCGTAGTGCTTCAATCCATAAATGAAAGACCTAAACTTTTGTGTAAAATAAACTTAAAACAAACAAAAGGTATCCGTCCGATGGGGGACACATCAAAGGGAAAACAAAATTGTTATTTTTATTTAATTCCGAGCATTTTCTTAATTATCTACCTTTTAAACCTTCCCTGTGGACACTGTGGTAAAAAAAAAAAAAGATATCAGTACCCACGATGCAGGATTGCCCAATGTGGATACTATTGTTAATATCATCACGAAAGCCTTAGCAGAGAGATGCTTTTAATGTCTTATTTGCTGCGAAAATGTGATTCCGTTTTGAATTAAACATATCTTATATTTCATAATCTCAACAAAAAGCATTGGTTTACTTGAATTATTTTCTAAATTTGGAACGTTAATTAGTGTTTTTTATAAAAAAAAACTCAAATATTCCGTAGCTATCCCTTATGAGTAGCAATTTCAATGGCCGGTCTATTCTGAATTTATTTCTTTATTCTAAATTACCTCCTACGTACGAAATACAACGCCTACCTTCTTACCGCAAATAAGATGTATTGTTTATCATAATATAATCATATCTGGACTGGATTTAAATTTTTTTAAAGTGCTGCATAAAACAGGTAGAATATGTTTATGATAAAACAAATATTTATCAACCCTATTCATATTACGATAAGGGTTGGTTTCAAATAAAAGTTATTAATTAAATTTTATAGATTATGAACAAAAAAACACAGAAATAGTAGTAATATACTCGTACAGGACATATTTATTATATTAAGCTATATTTTTTCTAAATTAAATATATACTAATTATAGGTTTTATGTGACCGTTTTTGACGCCGAGTAGGTATCTAAGATTAATGTAATGTATGCAAAAATCTTAACTAATTTCTCATGTTCATGGAAATGATCAGAAATAATTAATATTTCTACTCTTATCTAATGGCCAAAACAGTTACTCATGCGTAATGCCTAAACCCTTCACATTGCATTGATTTATTAATTTTACGTTACAGTATCATATCAACTTAGACGTCTGATGAATCGTAGACTGATGATGCGCATGAGCAGAATTGTGGTATATTATATAATGATTAGAAACGCAGATAACAAAACAATTACAACGCATATAGTTATGTCAACAAATAATCGAAACG